TTATAAAATTGATGGTTTCCTGAACTCAGAGTTCCTCAGCTATCATACAAACTTAATGTGTGCATACCGTCTGCCTGGGTCCATCTTTACATTTCTTCCTTGGGACTTGGAGCTTATCCTGTGATGAATAAAGGTCTTTGTGACCCAGAAGACTGTGAAACTAGGACAAGTTAACTTGATGGCTTGTGAATAAGATAAGGTGAAAGGGCTTGAGGGCCATAGGGCACTACATAGACTTCAGAAATTTCAGGATTTCTTTCTGACAGTTTCTTGGCACAGTGTGTTTTTCTTTAACCTACAATGGCAACCCCAGACCTGCCTAAATGTGCATAGTCTCTGGATGGCAGCCTGTTCAAATTGAGAATTGGGACATTAAGACTTAATTCTGGTTACAGTTTGTAAATTTACTTTGATCCCTCTTTCCTTTGACTCTTCCAGGCTCTGGATGAAGTACGAGATGACTGGGGAGAAAAAAAGAAGAGGAAGTTATAGCAACTTCAGACTTTGTGAAGGCGGAAGGAGAGCAAAAATCCTCTACTTAAAGGAGAGAGAACCTCAGACTGTGGGAGGTATGGCGATGGGAAGGACATTAATGATCTTTCAGATCTGCCCCTAGAGGGTTCCTCTAGAACATAAGCACCTTGGTGCTGCTCTTCATCTTTTCAATGATGTTTGAAAAGGAGGGGAACTAAAATTTGAGTGTGGAGTGCATGCTGCCTGCAGTCTTGTGAGTAATAAAGTACTTTATCTTTGACCCAAAGTCTCCTCTCTACTACCAAGATCTAGGAAGCTCTGGCCGGCAAAATTGGCTTGCAAATAGGATAAAAATCTCACATTATTTGCAGTTTTGACATAAACATAAAATAACTAAAGAGGGTCTGGTTTAATTTTATTATGGTTTTCCAAATTTGAAAATACAATTTGGAAATATAGGTTTAAAAACAATAGTACTGGATTCCAGGTGATTTAAACAGTGTTTTTATAGGTGGATTGTCACAGAAGTTCACAAACGCATACATAATAATGTATCCAATGTCCCACCATGCATCCTCTTGGCTTCCAATTCTTGTGGAATCCATGGTGGCCAGTTAAAAATGAGCCTTGATTTTCCATATATTGACAACATTTCACCTTGAGGAAAGTAAATCTTATTCAGTAAGCATGCATAACCGTAGGAAATTAACATACCAAGGGCAAGACTCAATAGAGAGAGGAAAGGAGTTTGTCATGATCAATCCTCAGGTAGGCAGTTCTGACAAGTATTCCATATGCTTCTCAGAAAGTTCTAAGGAGAATCAAGCCCAAGTTCATCACAGTTCCTACAGTAATATGCTTCATATTGCCTTTACCTCCTTCCCGTACTCTTCTTCACCCCATACTCTGGCTTCCTGGAATAACCACCTAAATAGCTTATCTAAACACAAAAATTTGTCTGAACCTTGAACATCTCCTTTTGGGAAGTACCTAATTTAATACAAGGGAACAGCCATTTCATAACAGTTATCTTTAGGTTGCATATTTATAAGCTTTCTTTCTCTGTTGAAGCAATGTATTTCTATAAAATGAAATTAAAGGTTTCCATTACAAAGAATAATTTGAAGTTAACAAAATGAATAAAAACTCCTCAATCTGGTAATAATACCATTTTGTGCTACAAGATGATTCTACTGATTGATGACTATTTGGACATAAACTAATTTATGAATATAGATTGGGATATATTAGAAAAAATGTCTGTTTGAAATCAGGATTATGACCTCTGGTTTTTGACACCAAGTCAAAATTGTTACACTCTGAAGATAATTATTATATCTTGGACTTGTCTAATGTTAGATTATTTGGGGATACTCTAAGAAAACACTGAAACTTCAATGCTACTTGATGTTTATGTGGAAAATCTACATTAGAACCACTAAGAAACAGAGACTGAGAAAAGCATTAGTCTGCATTGTATGCATAAGATATTGAATTCAGTTCCAGTTGTATTGAGTTGGATGGCATTTAGAGAACTCATAATGTGAGCAAGAGAATCTGATTGCTTTACAAGGAAGCAGAAGGTAGAGATGGAAGTCAGAAGAGTGAACAGCATCTTACAGAGAGGTTAATGGTCCTGTGATGATCAATTGCAGAGCTGGAGGAACTACGAGTTCTGTGGATTTTTTTTGCTTTTTTCTTAATTAGTGTCGGGCTTGGGAATACAATTCATTGTTAAACTCTATGGTGATACAACATTGACTAATAATAGTGAAGAAATTCCCCAGTTTTCATCTGTATCCATCAATTCTCATACTAGGCAGGCTAAATTGATGAGTAGTAAAAACTAGCTCACAAATACATAGCAGTCACCAGATAACAAAGCATTTTTATATAAGTTGCTATATTTAATTCTTATTTTCCTAATGAGGCTAACAAGTAAACAAAATTGTTCACATTTTATAAATGCTGCTTTTGAACATCAGATAATGATTTTTCACATAGTTGTATAAATCAGCTGCTAGGATACTAAACTAGAACTCTACTCAAGGTATTCTAATCCAAGTTGTAGGTTTTTTACTCTCTGTAGTCATTATGATCAGACTTATTGTGGGGCCATATTTCTTTTTGTGATAGTAACAAACAGATTTTGCTGAAATCCAGATTTGGAGAAGCAGCTTTAAATCCCCCATAGCCTCATTAAAGAGAAAATTAGCTCTGGAATTTAGAGGATACAAAGTCACTCTAAGAAGGAATAAGGAAATTGGAAATATAGTAGCAGCTGGTCCAGAAATCTTTTACTGATTACTTTTATAATGTTTTCCTACCCAACTACTAAAACTAGTTACTGTTATTTCCTTGTTTCTATTTGACCCACTATCTCAATGGCTCAGTGTTTTAATCATCTCATTTCTGCCTTAAGACATCACACTTCATCTGATCTTTCCATTCTTCCCAAGAATCCACTTTCCCAATAAACTCAAGTAACAATGATAGTGAAATACCTTCACTGATTTTTAAGTTCTGACTTTGAAAACAAATTGCTGTGCAGAAAGAATGTGGAATGAACAAGATCACTTAGATAAAAGTAGCCAGAGGGCTTTAATCCATGGTATATTTCAAAAAAAGCACAGAATTTTGGAGTTGAAAGAATATCTTACAAATCATCAGTTATGAATTAACCCAGGTTATATGAATCCAGAACTAGAAGCCAAATCTTTTGCTTTAAGCCAGGGCTCTTCCCAATATATGATGTTATACCCCCCACATCACCAACTCTCTTGTTTTCTCTATTTTTGGGTTGTCTTTTCTCTGTTAACTCCTCAGTGGTGAAATATTGATAGCACTGATTAGATGTTTATACTATTATAAACATGGTAAATAAGGTCACTTGTCCCTATGGGATATCATGATTACAAAGAATATTAGCTAATAATTTTTCATTATCTATTAGATATACATTTACCTCCTACCAGCTCACAATATCCAGGATTTACAAATTAATTACTATCTTATTATTATTTTGTTCATTTAGGAAGTGCATCATCATCCTCTACCAACATAATATGAAATTATGTTGTTAATCATTTTAAGTATAATTGACCATCAAGAAAATAGGAATAATAGCATATTCTTAGTAAGTTATATCCATTTAAATTAGTTTATAAAGGAAAATAAGAAATTAAAATTTTCACATAATTTGACTATATGAATAATCATGATTAAATTCTCACTTACTTAAAAATGATCATTTTTAGTTAGAAGTCTTAGTTAACACAATGCTCATTATAGCGAGCTTTAATATTTTCTTAAATGTTAAGTATATCATTGTTATTAGCATACTTTCACTTGAAGACTTAAGCCATAGCCATGTAATAAAGTAAATTTCTTCTACCCATAACATATTCATAATACATCCACATAATACTTCACAAAATGATGATTCCAATACAAAGTGATGTTGTCCATTTATTCAGGTACTACCTTAGTCCAAGAAACTGTTACCCATCTTAAGCTGTTGAAATGAGCTCTTCACTAATCATTCCACCCTCTTTTTGCCCCACAATAAACACACACACACACACACACACACACACACCTACTTCACAATAACAGAGCTTTCTAGATTGTAAATCTGGCCAACTGACTCTTGGCATAAGATTTTCCAGTGTGGCTTTCAAGGCTCTGGACAATACAGTCCCAGCCTCTCTCTTCACATTCATTTTGAGCCATTCATCTCCTTGGTTATTGTACTTCAACCCACACTGCCCCTTTCCCAGTTTTTCAAATATGCTTCACTCTCTTCCTCCTCAAGGTATCAGACTTTGTCTCTCTATGCAGTGCTTCTTGTGCTCCCTGTCAACATTACCACTTTCCCTAATTTTCTTGTCTTATCCTATAAGTAACATTTTAAAAGTCATCGTAGTGAGACTTTCACTGACCAACTGACCAACTAACTTAACTAATGTCCTCTCTGTCAGTCTTGACAATTACACATTGTTTACATGCACCTGTCATAATCTGTATTTATGAGTGTATCTATGTATGAAAGTACTTACTGGTTGCACTGGAGTAAAAAATAAATAGCTCTCTTAATTATTTATTTTTATAAGATGTATCAAGTAAGCTCATTGCTTTTTAACAACTCTAAAAAAAGGATTTTAGAAAAATACATTATTATTATAGAGCATTACTAACAAATCCAAAAATTAAAATGTAATATACATAAACTAAAATCTCTATACTTCAAAAGTGTCTATCATAGGGCTTCATCCAGATCTAGTTGAAACATAATAGTTTAAAAGACTGAAAAAAAAAATAAAAGACTGGTTGCTACTTTATTTTTACTTTTTTATTTCCCAAGATATTTTTTAAATTTTTAAACTATTTGATACTTGTAGAAAAGTCATAAAAATAACACAAAGGACTCCCATAAACTTTTCACCCTGAATCCCCATTTATTATAATTTTACCATACTTGCTTTATCATTGAATATACAAAAAACATATAAAATATATTTTTTTCTAAAAATATGGGATATAAAATGCCCCACAAGTGTCCTCCCTATGTAGGAGTCAGGGTAATCTTTGTATTGTTCCATTTTTAGTAAATGTGCAGCTAAAGTATACACTTAGCATTTTTAATTTTACCCAAATCTAGTTTCCATTGTATTTTCCAAATATCACATATACATCAATTAACCAAAAGAGGCATTGTGCATATAATAAACATTAATGTTTCTTCCTTTCTTCTTTCCAGTAGCAGTATTAAAATACTTATCAAATTATACAAGATAGACATTAATTAAGTGGAACAGACACAGCTGATATATGACCAATATTGTCATGTAGGTGTTAATTCAGTTCCTTCACTTTTTAAAATCTATTTTTGCTGGGAGCTTTCATTATTTATTTGATGCTTCATAGTAGTGAATTAAAGTTTATAATACATATTGTAAACTACATTCACTTTAGAAACATTAACTCCTTTGATTCTTATAATAATCTTTGATAGAAATGTCATGAAAGTTAAAAATGGAGGGTTTTCAGTAATTAAAACACATTTTCCATTTAGTCCATAAGGAGCATATTTTCCATTTAGTCCATAACAAATCTACATCTGTTGGAATAGAGCACATTTTAGAACTATGATGTAACTACTTAAAACTACCACCAGATTTTAGATGATTCTTAACAAAGAATAGAAACAAAAATTAAGATATAATTGTTAAAGTATAATGGTTTTAAGACAACAAGTTACTTAAAGAGAAGTGATGGAAATCATGGTGTGAAGTAGGAAGTCTAAAGTAGAAATCTAAAATGAAAAAAGGCAAAGAATACTATAGCATATTTTATCTATAGAGCCAAGTGATATGGCATACTTTCATTTGGGTGGGCTAGTCTATGTGTCAACAATTGCCACTAAAAATAAATGTCTGATTCAGCAGCCTATTTTACCAGAAGTTATCTGAAAGCTTGTATCTATTGTAAATGATGTGCATTAAAACAAGATTGCTCTCTATCTGCTAGAAAGTGAAGCAGTGGTTTCTATTGTAACCATGTTTAGAAAAAAAAATGAGTCAGTTACCTAGAGTAGTGAAGTGCACTGTGTAAGACAGTGAACTATTAAACAATCATAGTCAATCACTATTGAAATTTAAATCCTGAACTACCAAATTATAGAAAGAATTTTGCAGTTCAGACTGCCAAAAGAGAAAAAGGACACTAGAGAAAATAATTATAATAAGTAACTGCAATAACAGTACTAGTCTTTATTACAAAAATAGCAACTTTTATCCATACACTCTTCATCTAATACGATTGTTTCTGTTCAGAAATTTATTACTAATCAGGAATGCTACAGTAAGATTTTCAGAGTTTAAATCTTGACTTCATTAATTAGTAAATGTGGGACATTTAGTAGGTGCTTTTCTCTCCTTATCTAAGTCTCCTGATCTGTATAGTGAGTATGATAAATACACGTTTTTGTGAAGACAAAGCAAATGATTTAAGCAAATTATTTATAAAAGAGCATGACAGAAAAAAATGCATGACAGAACAAATTAGTAATCATAATAGACATAGTGCTCAATAGTATTTTGTCATAAACACACTTAGTAGTACAAAGTTGGTTGCAAAATCTTTAAAATATACATGTAGGTATAGAGGGAAATAAAACAAAAAACAACCTTTTGATTAGTAGCTAAATCTTGACATTTTTGTGTTTCCCCCTCATTTCAAGTCACTGGAGGTTTTCCAAAACTACACCAATGATTTATATTACCCAGTTTTCTGGGATAGCCATAAATAATTGAAGTGAGTATTTGAGGAGAACTGCGTTATCATTAATCCTGCATCGCATGGTACAGCAGCATTCAGGAACAGACATTCCAAGAGTAGCAACAGAATTACAGTCATTAGGTCATAAAGAAGAGAATCTGTTTTCTAATGACAAAAGTTTTGAAATTTCATCACCTACTGTATCAAAATTGATAACAGGAAACAAGTTCGACATCAACCAGGTTCAAATGTGCAAGTGAAAACAGGATTTGGACACAGATTGGCATAGAAAAAGATGCCACTCCCTCCTACCCACCCACCATAATAATCAAAATTTGATTATAAGTGTTGCTACCCAGGTATTAACCCTATATTCATGATGAATTTTGGTTACCAAGTATACAAACTCTTAATTATAAAGTACCCATACACCATTTATGAATATATCTATATACATACCTATTCCTATCAAATAGTATACAGCAAAACCCATTCCATGGTGTGTATTTAGATCTTTTCTTCTAAAATTGTGACATCTTTAAAAAAATCTCCTGTTTTCTTATGAAGGGGTATAAGGACCAAGTGAACCCATACTTGTGAATTGGTAGATATGATAATTAGCCTCACATAAGTCTGAATAAAAAATTGCCTTTGGGTGGTAATGAACCCATCAACCCTAGAAAATGAGACTAGAAGAAGCATTTCTCATGCATGCATGAGTCAGCTATACCTTAGTTATGACAGAAATGTGACTCTGTCCCGCTTTCTCTAATAACACTGCCTCCTGTGATTTCTCTCTACTGTTTCTGTTGCCAAAAGTCTCATACTGAGTTTTAACTGTGTGGAGAAAGCACAGTTATGGATCCATTGGTCCTCTCAATTTCTAAAGCTATTTCCTTCACAAACTGTGACTTGAATGGTGAGAAAATGCAGGGAAAGTAGTTTCCACTCCACAAGAAATGTTAGTATTTATCCACTTCTTTTTTTCTCAGCCCATACTAGCTCTTTCATTTTTAAAATTGAGAGTAAATATTCCCCTCAAATGCCTGTATATTAACAAAGGCTGGCTACGCATGGGAAAATCGAGCCAATCATTATAATCATGCTAAAAGATGCAGGGGGAGATTTCTTTCTTCCCTTCCTGCAAGTTATACATTTAGGGAAACCACTCAACCACTCTTTAATTGTGCCCCTGTGGCTTTATAAGAGTTAATGATGCTTTTGAAAGGTGCTTCTATTTAGGGAGGAACTGAGGGAAGTAGACTTGGGATCATCCAGAATTCATAGCCTAGTGGTAAACAGAGAACATAGAATTAAGGCATTTTTGGAATTTGACTGTACCTGAGTGAGAATATGGAAGTCCTGGATGTCAACATATACAAAGAAAAGATACAATTATTCTGAAAGAGTCACCTGTTTCCTGATTGATTCACAATTAGTCATATGATCACTTACAAATAGTTTCTTCTTCCTTCCTTTTTAAAAATATGAACAGGCTTGCAGCAACTTCATCCTAGGAACATTGCCAAAGGCAAGGGAAGCAAGGGCAAAAATGAACTATTGGGACTTCATCAAGATGAAAAGCTTTTGCACAGCAAAGGAAACAGTAAACAAAACCAAAAGACAACTGACAGAATGGGAGAAGATATTTGCAAACGACATATCAGATAAAGGGCTAGTGTCCAAAATCTATAAAGAACTTATCAAGCTCAACACCCAAAGAACAAATAATCCAATCAAGAAATGGGCAGAGGACATGAACAGACATTTTTGCAAAGAAGACAACCAGATGGCCAACAGACACATGAAAAAGTGCTCCACATCACTCAGCGTCAGGGAAATACAAATCAAAACCACAATGAGATACCACCTCACACCAGTCAGAATGGCTAAATTAACAAATCAGGTAATGACAGATGTTGGCGAGGATGTGGAGAAAGGGGAACCCTCCTACACTGTTGGTAGGAATACAAGCTGGCACAGCCAATCTGGAAAACAGTATGGAGGTTCCTCAAAAAGTTGAAAATAGAGCTACCCTATGACCCAGCAATTGCACTACTGGGTATTTACCCTAAAGATACAAATGTAGTGATCCGAAGGGACATGTGCACCCTAATGTTTATAGCAGCAATGTCTACAATAGCCAAACTATGGAAAGAACCTAGATATCCATTCATCCAACAGATAAATGGATAAAGAAGATGTGGTATATATATATATAATGGAATACTATGCAGCCATCAAAAGAAATGAAATCTTGTTATTTGCAATGATGTGGATGGAGCTACAGGGTATTATGCTTAGCGAAATAAGTCAATCAGAGAAAGACAATTATCATATGATCTCCCTGATATGAGGAAATTGAGAGACAATGTGGTGGGTTTGGTGAGTAGGAAAGGAATAAATGAAACAAGATGGGATCAGGAGGGAGACAAACCATAAGAGAGAGACCCTTAATCTCACAAAACAAACTGACGGTTGCTGGGAGGAGGGTGGTGGGAGAGGGTGGTTGGGGTATGGACATTGGGGAAGGTATGTGCTATGGTAAGTGCTGTGAAGTGCATAAACCTGGCAATTCACAGATCTGTACCCCTGGGGCTAATAATGCATTACATGTTAATAAAAAATTTTAAAAATATTTTAAAAAATATGAACAGGCTTTATTTTTAGAGCCTCAGGTTTATAGAAAATTGAGCAGACATGAAGTTCCCATACATCCCCTTTCTCCCTCACTCATGGTTTCTTCTATCCTACATTATCCTGTTACACTTGTTAAGATTAATGAAACAATACTATTGCATTAACTGAGGTCCATAGTTTACATTAGAGTTCACTCTTTGTATTGTTTAGTTAGTTATATGGGTTTTGACAGATGCATAATGACACCTATTCACCATTACAGTACTATATAGAACAGTTTCACTGCCCTAAAAATTATCTTTATTCTACCTGTTCATCCTCCCTTAAGCCCCTGCTCCAACCTCTGGCAACCACTGATCTTTCTGCTTTCTCTGCAGGTTTTTTTTTTTTCTTTTTTCATAATATCATATAGTTATTTTCTTTAAATTTTCAGAACAAACCCAGTGTGTCGTTTCTATTTGTCTTCATGGAACTGACACATATGCAAACTTACAGGTATCCCATATTAAGGTACAAAATTACCACACTGCATATTCCCAGGTGCCATATTCCTCAGGACTGAGTACCCAGTCTTATCTATAAGTGGTAGCTCACCACAAACCCCCAAATTCTTCATCTTAATCCCCTCCTCCTCCCAGTTTAAAGCTGACTCATTACGGATACAGTGTAGTGGATTAGGGTGTAGGTTGCTTGAGTCTGAGCCCTGACTGCA